TGGCTCTTCGGCTTTGAAATGGAGATGAGCACCGCCCCCTAGAGTCGGGAACGACTAGCACATATGTGCAAGGGGAACCTTTACCTTTACCTTTTAACCACTGTATCACTACAGCTCCTGTTCTTTTTGTTTTTGTTCCATCTTCTTACAGTTTTTTATTTGTTGATTTACCCAAACATTATAATCTGTTTGAAAGAGACTCATTTTGAGTCAGGAAACTTATTTCTTTCAACAAATGACAAGGAAGGCTAATTTTGGAACAGGGATGGCTAATCTTTTAGTGACCAAGTCAACACTTAATCTTTAAAAATGGGTTACAGGCTTACTTCTGGCTCTAGTACTCAGGTTATAAACCTCTGATTTAGTGTTTACATTTTGTGCTGAATTTTGGTTAATCTAAACTGGAAATATATGTTTCTTAAATTCACCTAGCAGAGTTACACGAAACAGGAGACAGGAGACAAGGTATAAGCTTGATATTCACCATGGCTAATATATAGCGATGTCTGAACACAAAGAATAAATCAAGAGACTGCTTGAGAACTTCAAACACTGATTTCAGAGCTCATTCAGTCTAAAATCCTGAGTAAAAAGGAAATTTACAACAAATAACCCTACAGAATTTATCACAGTTAATGACGGTTGAAAAATCTAGAGGCAAACAAAAAAGTGAAAGAAAGAAGAAGATTATGGAATGGAGGAGATGAAAAAGGTCTGATAACTTTCTCAGAACATTACAAGCAATATTCTTATTCTTACAGAACAGAATGAGAAAAGTGGCTAGTTGATAATCAAGAAAATGTAGTGTTAACACTGGCTCTGAAGAGCACCAGACCCAGAATGCCACACTTTTGCTGCAGATATAATTTTGGTTGTAAACACATTCCCTATTTTCAAAAACTGTTACTAGTTAATAGAAGTTCTTATTATTTTTCAAAATTCTCCTGCTTGTCTTTTGCTCAGGATTTTAACTGCAGTGCCTGAGCTATTTTTTGCTAAGACTGCACGAAGTCAGTGTTCAGGTTTTTTTTCTGCAGTCCCAAGTCTGATTGCTCCTCCGCCTTTTCAGTATAACTCAGAATCCTATATTCATTGCATGGCTGGAAAACAGCCTGTAATATATAATTCAGAATGATCAGCAAAAGACTGTTTATAATCTTCATAATTACAGAGAGGGTAACATGCGGTGGCAACATTGAACGTGTACGGTCCATAGTAGAATAGAAAAAGCATAAGGCTAAGAAGAGTCAGTAGAGAAATACACTAAGCTCTAAGTTTGGTAGTGATGGAAAATTAAACACAGGTTTTGATTATTGCTGCCATGCCTACTATTGCTATCATCAGTATCATCCCTAACATCCCAACCTGATGTATATTTGCCCCTCAAATTCTTCCTTCTTGATTCTCTTGAGTGGCCACCCATTATTTCTTTATTTCATGAACAACCACTGCTTCATGGTTCTTCATAGCTCCAAAGCAAATGCAGCTCTTGAAGAGTCATTTTCCCAGACTTCAGTTTATGCTCAGAGGCCTGGGTTCGAGCTTCAGAGCAGCCCTAACAAGCCTTTAAAAAGATTGCTCCAAGCAGTGAGTTCTTTGCTCATTTCAGAAAGCATCTTGGACAGAATATAAGTATACATGCACTATGTGGTGAAGGTATAGGTAATGTACACAGGGACATATTAATTTACTGTAGTTCAGAGCATTGTAGAGAGAATTTGAGATGAAATCTTGGTATAAAACAAAACCTTTTCCAATCCACTATATAAATATATTACAGCATAATACAATATAGTAGCACAAGAAAAATATTTCATTGTAGTGGGCTTAAAAAGATTTGCAAGATGTGGCTGAAGGTTTTTTGGCACCTTACCATGCCTAACAGTATTAGGGAAGAAAGGAAGATTTGAGCTGATTCCTTGGTATCATATGTTTTGAACTACTACTTGCTATTTATCTTAGGTTTACAAGAAGTTTTGAAATCTAGTCGTAACATTTATATCTACAAGAATTTCTGCCAAGTTGATGAGGTTTAGAATGTGTTTAAATAAAAAAAAAAAAACAAGGTTAGGAAACAGAGTATAATTTCTAGAATTCTTTTCAGCCCCTTTAATCAAAAGAGAAAACTACACTGTCTTCTGTGTATTGTAGTAATATAAAGTGTGTATGTCAGGGGTGGGTTCTACTTACCTTTATTACCAGTTTGCATCGCGCCCGTGCGCGCGCTTCTGCGCATGCACAGATGTCCAGGTCAGTGGGCGGAGCCTCCCACTGGTTTTACTACCAGGTTCTTGCGAACCAGTCCGAACCAGGGGCAACCCACCACTGGTGTATGTGTGTGCATGCACACATACACATACATACACATACATGTATTATGTTTTTGCTCTCTGCTATAAATGCATCATTTGTGCATTTTTGTCTATATATGTGGATTAGGAAAAACAGGATGGAGAATAGATATTCTACTCTGGTTCATTTAGCTATGAGCAGAGAAGAGAGGGGAATTTAGAATAACAATCAGCAATAGTCTGAACTGCTATCGTCCATAAGGATAGAAGCTCCCTCTTTCATGGGGATGCATACGGAAATTTCTTCTTGTCCTGTTTTTCTCCATAATACCCAGCCAGATTTGGTCCCCCACTGCTTTTTTCCCCCCTGCCTTTTCCCACCACACCAAATATGGCCCCTTTTTGTTCAGTTTTCACTGAATTATCTTGCTGATGAGCAGCAGGACAAATGGGCAAAATCCTGAATGCCCTTTAAACAATTTCTTTCCAAGATTCCATTTGGGTTGAAATAAAAAGAAAAACTGTAGTGGGGAGAAGTTGAAGAATTAACCTTCAAATTACAGAACTTGAAAATATTGTCAGTTTGGGTCTATAATTTAATACTGCCAAATGTCTATGGAGGTTCTCAGTCATCCAGGTCGTGGTTGTCCCAAAAGTGCTTTTTCAAGAGGCAACTGGACTTCCTTGTTTTTTCTTTGAAGACATTTTGCTTCTCGTCCAAGAAGCTTCTTCAGTTCTGACTGGATAATGATCTTCACCATCCAGTCAGAGCTGAAGAAGCTTCTTGGATAAAAAGCAAAACATCTTCAAAGAAAAAAAACAAGAAAGTCCAGTTGCCTCTTGAAAAAGCACCTTTGGGAATATTGCCAAATCTTTTCCCATGACTTCCTGGTCTGTTAGAAAGGAATAAGAAACGAGGATGGGGAGATTTTCTTGATCTTGTCCTCTCCTTTTATACTTCCAGATGCTCGAAGCTTTTGGTAGCATTTTTACATTTCTATAAAACCACATGGCCTGTTGCCATAGTGATCAGAAACTCTGTCTTTTCAAGTCTGGACTGATGATTTGCATTCAACTCCCATTTCCACAGAGAAAAATAAACAGAAACACACACGCACACACACGCACACACACAAACAAAATTGTACTCTAATTCACTTAAGCCTTACTCAGACAATTTTCTACTAGCACAACTACAATCTAAACTCTCCCCTCCGTAACTGCTCTGATTTATTTCACAGTGCTGCCAAACCTTAATTGTCCTACAATTGGAGGATAAGCCCTACAGGATATACTAAAAGTTGGAAAGAATGGTACAAATTCAAATGAAATACAGGATTTAGAGGCAACTATCTTATTTCCTGAACACTAGATTTTCTTGTCCACACAAGGACTGTGGGAAAGTATAGCTGTATACCTGAATTTCAGCCTGATTTGGAGAAGTTCAAAAAGAATTGTTGTTTCATTCTCATAAATATGTCTGTATATTTTAGGATGTGAAAACTAGAATATTCTATCCTGGTCTTTCAAGGTCAAGTTTTTTTCCACACATATGCCATCATTCAGAGACTGTATTCAGGAATTTTTCAATAGTCATCTGAGGTAACACTGTTGGAAACAGACAAGATATGATCCAAACCCACTGAGAAGCTGTTTGGCAAACTCTACTCAACTGAACATAAGCTGCTTCATGAGTCTATAAAGCATGAGATACTATTTGAATTTGTTATGTCTGATATTAATATGTTATGCCAGACTTGATACCTATCCAACAACATAAAATACTTTCCACAGTTATTCTCCATACAGGCCTTTTGTGGGATAGGCACATGATATCCAGTCCCCCCACCCCTAAATTTCACTTCTACAAATACAAATTCTATGGTAGTATGTGAACTTTGTCAACCTTTCACACAACTTGAAAGGATGGAGGAAGCCACCATCAGTTATGGAAAATGGGTAACGATTTCACAATTTAGAATGCAAATAAAAGCAGAGCTGTCAATTATTTAATTCATTATGTTTTGAGAAACGAGTAACTTGCCTAATAGCACTTCTCTAAATTAGTTCCTAAACAACAACAATAGCTTAAAGAAGTGTTGAAGCCTCTGTGGATGGAAAATCTCACCAAGGATGTCCATTGTTGGAATATATTCAAGGCCTGCAAAAAATCTTAATGAAACAGAATCTTATTGTGTTTCTTGCCTTCTGTGCTTTTGGAACTGTGGAATCTGAATTACAATACTCTGGGGGCTAGCATTTTATACCTAGGCACTTCAGGTAAGCTCCTATCAACGTAAGAAATACTTTCCCCATCTTAAAAAGATTAATAGTTCTGATGTAACATAAATTAGTGTGGACTTTTCCTCCTACAATTCCCACTGCCAAATTATGATGCAATTCATGAAAGGATACACAACAATAAAGCTGACGTTCTTTAAAGTGCTACCAGATTTCTTCGGATTTTTTTTTTCAATAAAACATGGCTACTGCTTTAGGCATTATCAACTGATTGTTTTGCTAAAGTTCCATCTTTACATTTTGCTAATTACCCAGGTTTAAGAATTGATGAAAAATCATCAGTATTAAATGAGATCTCTAACATACAGTATACTGTATATTAAATACATCTAATGCAACTGAAATTGTGAGTGCCCTGTGAGTAGAAAGGTGAGAAATCATCATCATTGAGTCAAAGAACTGGCTTACCCAGAAAGCACTCCCAGGACAAGGTTGAGAACAAAAAACGATCCGATTATGATGAGGGGAATGAAGTACAACCAATTCCAGGTGGCTCCTAAGGCATCATTGGTCTGAAAGAAAAACAAAAATAAAAAATAACCTAAAATTGCACTACATGCAATCTTTGTTATACACAATGAAGTCTTTTTTATTAAATGTCTGTACACATACATGTAGTCCTATTTTATTGCTAAATTTATTCCAGTGCCGGCTGCTTGCTTTCCCTTTTGCACTGGGGACATAGAAGCAACCATTTTGTATTCCTCTTAGAAAAACAATCCATGCAACAATGACCTTTAACGTGGCTCCCAAACTGATTTGTACTCAACAGCTTTGTCCCTGTGGAAAGTTTGGCAATTCTAATGAGAACACTTACGCCTGTCATCCAAGATGTCACAGTTGACACTATACAGCATAGGTTGACTGAAAAGGACAGAGGTTTGCAGTAGTGATAACAAGAGGAAGTTTGTGACATTTTGACTGCAACTGCCATGTTCACTTTTTTCAGACTGCATTTGTTGCAAGCTCACCTAGAGCATAATGTTCTCATCACTTAATTGCATGTTGCTATTAATGTCCACAAAATGGCATTATTTCATCCTAACTAAAATTCAGGAGAGCAGAACAGAGAGGAAGAAAGAAGGCAGCTGCTCAGGAAAGTACAAGTCATGAAGCAAAAGACTGACAGCTTAAAAGGCTTCTGGCAAGGTTGCTCAGGGTTGTAATATGGTTATTCATTGCCTTTTAATAAGGGCCTGCCCTCTCTCTTCTCTCCAGATCTCTCTTTTGTCCTTTTGACAAGGATTCTGCCCATGATGTTGGTCAGGACAATGATGCAGCAGAACGTGACTGTCTGAGAAAGGCAGCATCCATCTTCATCTTATTACTGTTCTTGGCAATAATTAAACCCTCATCTCTCTCTCTCTCTCTCTCTCTCTCTCTCTCTGACTCATCTGTACATCATATCCAAACAAACCAGTGTAAGAGCTTCATTTGAGCTTCTTAAAAGGCATAATCTCCAAGCACTAGTGGGGAAAACGTTATTTTTAAAGTAGCTAGAATGCTTGACTTATGAGTATCACTAAAGGTTCTGAAGCTGTAACCTAGCCATCTTCTAAAACCCATACTGAAGTCTTCAGTATATCAGGCTGAGGTTTGTTTTTATTGTGATTCACTATCCCAGTCTAAACTAAAAAATGCATTTCGTTAAAAATTCTGGAGCTAGTTTTACGTACAGTACAGATACAGGCAGAGAATAGAATGGCAGAAAATTTGGTGGGAGGACAGATGACAGAAATGTGAAGTACTGAAAGACTTTTTTATAACCAACATAATCCACCACCCCCACCCCGAAACCTTAATCCCTCTAGCTAAAGTGTTTTTAGGATTAGATGTAAATCACCACTTCTATCAAGATTACCTGGATAACTCAATAAGACCTACAGAGAATTTTCATATGGACAGATGAAGCTACCTTGGGGGCACTGATAGGTGAGCTTGAAAGAACTTCCCCCTTCTCTGGCACAGTTACCAATTGGTTTCTTTTTGCAGAACCACTTGAAACATACAAAAAGATATAGCTTTGATTCTTCCTTTCTTTGATACTGTCAGAATTCTCTAGTGATGAGGAATGGTAAGGTGAACAAGTAGGCAGATAAATAAAATACTTCTCAGCTGATCAGAGTGCCCATCAGCATGAAGTCATTAGAACCATTTTGAGGTATATGGAAAGACCTCTTTCTGGAACTCTTCTGTGAACCCAGTCTGGCAGAACAGAATGTATAAACAGTACGTATAAGTAAATATAGCAATGAAGGAACATTTTCAATGACACATCACTTATTTCAACTATTTACTTCACTGTATCATTGAATGATCTCTGGTTCTTTTTCTATTATCTGAAAAATCATACACAAATAAAGAGGAGGTGGTGGAATCATGAACAGACAGTAAAAACAGCTTGAAGGAGACTGCACACCTGCCCTGGGAATGTAGTTTCAATTAACGGCACTTTGAAGCCAGGATAGTAGCAGTGTTTTCTCCCGGGAAGAACTCACCTAACTGCTTAACTCTTCCTTAAATAAATAGTCACACATGGCAATTATCACGTTATTCCTCAGAAGGGAGTGCAGAAGGAAAGAGAAGAATGGAGGAAAGGAAGATATTACATTGCAGTTATTTACCAAGAATTACAGTTTGGAGAGCCACGTGAGGCTGCTTCAGCAGAGTAAAACAGAAACTTTCTGTGCTAAAGATAATGTATTGCTGGCTGAATTCTGAACAAGATGCTTCAGAATGTAGTGTCTGGAGCAGAGCAAACTAAAATTATTGCTGTGTTGACAGGGCATGAATAGAAGATAAGGTTCTTTATAGAATTTCCATTAAGGCTGACAAAACAAAAGATTTTTATTGTCTGCCAATTGCACTGGCTGAGATTATACATTAATTCTCCACCCATAGACAGAAACATTGTTCTTCTTGCTAGGCATTACTGAATGAATCTAAAGAGAGATATATAGCACAATAGCATAAATTATTGTTGCCCATCTCCTGTGCACATTGGATTTGATCGAAAGTTTAACTGAAAATGATTCTGACACAACTTTTCTAATGTCTTCTATAAGCCTGTTGTACATTCAGTCAGGCGCTGAAGGTCAGAATCAAATTCCCCTCAAAAGCCAACTCCACTTAAAACTCAACACAAAATCTTCATTACTTTCTTCAATAATGGCTATAAAGTAAATGTGTGGAATTTGCTAAAAATTACTATCAAAATGGAAATCACTCATCTCTGAACGAACAATTGGCACTCAGACTTGGGAAGTGAGACAAAATGATGTCATTGTCTTCTAAATTTTAGATTATCCTTCTGTGCAGTCCAAGGAAGTCTGATTTCAATCACAATCCTAGAACAGCCTCCTAAGAATGGCATGAATTGGTTGTGTGGAAATGTTCACTAAGGTAACTTTTCCAGTGTTAGTCTGAATAAATTTGAGATTGTATAGAGCAAGAAACAAAGCAATTGTTTCATAGCTGATTCTGCTTTCTTTTTTTTTTCTTTTGCTTTAAAAAAGGCAATATCTTTGCTCTTGCTTAGCCAATATTCTAAATTAGAAATGGCCAATTACAAATGGCTCCACTGTAATTCCAGATGGCACCCTCTGCCCACCCTCACTGCAGATTTATGGTTCTTACATGTCTAGTGTCTCCTCCATGGGGAAATGAGATATTTGTAATTTCCAGACTTCTGTACCATTAAGCAATTCTGAGCTGCTTTATAGAATATAGCAGAGCTGAAATAAATTATCTCTTCACCCACTATTAATATTCTTGCAAAGGTTTGATGATATCTTTCAAATCTTCTCTAGCTGCGTTATACATACTTCCAGCATTTGCCACCAATAGTTTGCAGTAGCATCTAAACATATAATAGTATCTGCAAGCTGTCTTTCAGTAATATTTGACATGCAAGAGGAATGTCCTTTCAGTTAGTAAGATGTAAGCTGATTTTTATGATACCTGATATGCATTCATCTAGAGTTGAAAACTGACATACAATATCTCTAAATATTGATAATATCTGACATAAAGTATTCGCCAGTTGACCTACATCTGACAGATGGCATGCGATTGTAATAGGTATTTGACAGCTCTAGATTTAAAATAAATGCATAAATGTTAAACTAATTTCATTCATTCATTCCTTTAGCCAACCATATCAAATAGACAAGCTTAATGTGTAATGTAACAATTGTAATGTGTGTGGATGTAAGTCTGTCTGTGTATCATTCTCTCTCTCTCTTTCTCTGTATGTATTGGGAGGTGGAAGAGATATAGTTCATTTCAGTTCTAGGATATAACCTCTAAAATAGATTTAATGGTCCGAGCATTTGCATTGCTGGGAAATATTTGATCACAGGAAAATTTATTTATTCCACTGCTAAAATAAAATACTTCCAACTGGCTCAACTGTAGAATCATTTTTACATCTTGGCTGACTGAGAAATCTGCCCTTGCCAAGGCAGAATATAAATGATTTGCTGGAATAAGACGACCTTGTTATCATAAACAAATTTCTCTGTGTGCATCTGTGTGCATGTTTATTTTACACACACACACATGCAGACACACTTCTTACGGAATTATGCACCCCATGAGATTTTAGTTATCCAAAACGACAACATTCACTAAATAACATACCATCTAGTGTTAGATTGGAAACTGTAAAAACATTCTTGAAGATATTGGTGAAAAATCACCTCCATATTTTTGCCAAAAGAACTATATGGTACTGACCTTGAAGACATTGGTGATGAAGCTCAAGCTTTATTTTTACTCAATACTATTTCCTATCAAATATGTTTTCATTTACAGAACTCAAACAACTATTTTTCTTAGATAAATTGACATCTCTCTATTTTTATATGTCCTCCTGTTATTCGTCTTTTGGTGCTACTTAAAATTGTGCTCCAGAAAGCAGTTTTTCCCATAAACTCCTCCCCTTATCTTGGGATGTGAAATCTAGTTTTTGTTTCCGGTTTTTAGAATACAACTCATTTCAAACATGAGCAGGATGGCTTTAGGCACAAAGCCTATTTCCACTCTCTGGAACTCTGTGCCATGAAATCTCACCTAGAAACTACCTGGTCTCCATATATTAACCAACAAGCAAACATAATTATATAAAATATCATTTATATTTAAGGGTTTTATAAGAAGGCCAGAAATTCTGCTGATTTGTTGCAATAAAATGCATTACCTGGAGATGTAAAAGTATTTATAAATAATGGTGGTAACCTTTTTTTGTTTAACAACTGGTTTGTTTGTTTAAGTGTTGTGCATAAAATAGATTTTTGTATATTTTTTAAAATATATATTTTGTTTAGATATTTTGGCGATGTCATGCAGGGGAATTTGCTGGAGAAAGCAATTATGTTTGGAAGAGTTATCAGTAAAAGGAAACCAAGCCATCAAGGAATACAGTGGCTGGACCATCAAAACTGACACCTACCAGTGCAACTCAAAAAAGTAGTGCAACATTGGAAGATGTGGAGAGACCTGGCCAATAGAC